TGTGGGCCCGGGCGTGGTAGGCTCCTCGACCAATGTCGAGGCGCCAATTGTCCATTATGGACACCCTTATATACAAGCTAATGTACATATAGCATCTTCCTTAAAAATACCCCAACTCTCTTTTGCATCATTCTCGAGTTGGAATTTTGCAAGATTAGGAGCATGTTTAGGAAGGATAAAGATACACGTCGCCCTGGACATCGAGCGGCTCGTTTAGGAAAGCTTATATAGTTTAGTTAAAAGTGTTAGGCTCATATTTGAAAATACTAGCAAAGAGAGTGAGACAACACCATGGCTGCAAAAGCCCAGTTGCAAATGCAAGAGAAAAGGAGAACACATTCAATCTCCCTCCTCGCAAAGCCATCAAGGTTAGCCCCGCCAAGATACGCGGCCCATTTCTTCATGCCCGACCCAACTCAAAAAAAATCCTCGCAGCTTACACATAGTATTAGCAACAGCAAAATTTTCCTGAATGAAATTTTACTTCAGGTAAAGTGGCCGTTGATGAAATTTACTCCTTTCTCTGATTATATCCACACACAGCAACATAGAGAAAACAGTTACTGATACTTGAAGCATAAAAGGGCTGTTTATTTTTTTGTGCATGATTGAAATCATTAGAAAAAAGAGACGTGCAATCAATAGAGCCCAGAATAAAGACGTAGGGAGAAAATGATTGGCTAAATGATAACTTATATTCCCATTATACTAAATTACTTGAAAACAGTATGCTGCATTTTTGTTTAATTTAAGTCCATATGAATTGCTGTTAAAATTGTTCTTACATCCTATTCAATGGAGCCCAAGATAAAAATCTAATGGATGGAAGATAAAATAAGAAGATCCCTTGTTCTATCTATGTTCATGATTGGTGATGAGTTCTAGAAAGTGGAATTTATAACTAATGAAAACCTCATTTGTTGTCTAAACTTTAATGAGTTTCTCGAACACATATATTATCTATGTTCCAGTGCGCTTCTTCTTTTTTGTTGATCTACTGGAATACATTTAGCAAAAAGCATGAGAGTATGTGTCGAACACATATACTCTACTTATGTTGCAGCACATGGTTTGGTGGACCATAATCAGATAAGATTGCCAATTTTTTGGTATCATCTCTAATTTTAATGTGGATAGTTATAATGTAGAGTTAATACAAATTCTAGCCTATACGGTGAGATATTATCATCGTATAACCAAAGTGTTAATAGATTACGGTGCAAATTCTTATTTTTCATTTCCCTATTGTTAAAAAATCATCTGACATTCATCTTCTTTCCAAACAGGAACTTGCACTGGGTTCATCTGTTCCCATTCATATAGTTCTTTAAGATTAGATAAGACTCTCAGATGGGAAGCTCAACTTCTTGTGATTCGTCCAACTTCTTCCTGGAGTTTCTTCCCGTGCACTTCAAAAAGTCCAAAAAATGGTTGCGCTCTACTCGTTGCATCTGCAAAATGCCCTTGAAGGCTTGAACTTTACTACTTAAATAGGATGAAGGATTGTCGTGTTCTGGGGCTCCGTCACCGAAGAATTGTCCCGTTCTGGCCGGTAGTAGGTGGTTGGTGAAGGTAGAGGTGGAGGTGGAGGTGGAGGTGGCAGTAGGAGGTGGTCAAGTGATTGATTTTGGGTTTGAAAGGGGGGTGGCGGGTGAGAGGAAGAAGACGGATTGGTTTTTTTTTTTTTTTTTTTTTCCCCTTATTTCTTAATTTTTTTAGTTTAATTATTTAATGTGATAGATAGAAAGTTATTTTTTTCCGTAAAAATATAGTCAAAGATAAATTTTTGTTCAACTAACAGAATTTTAGATTAAAACGGTCCGAAAGATCTTCACCTACAACGTTTGGAAAGGTTAAGGTGACGATCATTACAAATCAAAAGTTTAGGAAAAGTCAATTAGTGCTTCAAAAGTTTGGAGCTGTTGTAATTATCCCTAAAATTAATTATCATTTTCTGCTTAAGTTGATGGAGAATCAGAGGTGGATACAGTGTGTCTTGAGCATAAGGCTACTTAGTTGATTGTTGTGATCTGTGTTAGGACAATGCCCAAATTTTGAAGACCTCATATTTTTTAAAGACGTTCAATCTTCCTTTTATTTTCTATTTTTTTTTTAAAAAAGCTGTCTAGATTACGCATGTGTCTTCAATGCACAATTAGTGGTAAAAAATCAGATTATGGAAGACAAAATCAGATTACTGATTGTTCTTCTAGCGAATAAAATGATTTTTTGGTGCTAAAAATGATTTGGTATTCTGCTTATCTGGTTTATGTGTTGTAGTGATGTTGGAAAGATTAGTTTGGTGGGGATCAAAATCATATTTTTAGTAAATTTTGATAAAAGTTATTGAAATGTGTGGTTAAAAAGTTGTAGGTCCGATAGAATGTGCGGTTAAAACTGAAATGTGTGGTTAAAAAGTTGTAGGTCCGATAGAATGTGCGGTTAAAACTGAAATGTGTGGTTAAAAAGTTGTAGGTCCGATAGAATGTGCGGTTAAAACTGAAATGTGTGGTTAAAAAGTTGTAGGTCCGATAGAATGTGCGGTTAAAACTGAAATGTGTGGTTAAAAAGTTGTAGGTCCGATAGAATGTGCGGTTAAAACTGAAATGTGTGGTTAAAAAGTTGTAGGTCCGATAGAATGTGCTGTTAAAACTAGTAGTTAACTTTGACTTAAATTAAAATCTGAATTTTAATTTGTACCAGACGGGAGCTTAATTTAAATTGTTCGATTGAAATGTTGCTTATCTGGCTTTCCTATCTGGTGTGTTTGAATTTGAGTATAATGAAAATATTGAAAATGATATACGGGTATCTTTAGACTCTCAAGTCGTCGTTTGATTTTACTAAACATCAGAGTTCTTCTATATTTGATGGAAGCTAAGAAATGTGAGATTCAGAGATTAATAAAAATTGTGCATTTCATGAAATATATGATTAGTTCAACCAAACAAATGCTAAAATTCGTCACAATTGACTAGACTCGTTAAAAAGTCAAATGTTTAGCACAATCGAGAAATTCTGAGCTTAATTTTGAATTAGATTACTAAGGAATGAAGCCTATTCAAATTTGAATGTACCAATTTTTAACTGTTAGTCTTGTCCCTTCACCTACTAGACAATAATTAATATAACTCATAATTAAAATCCCCCATCCATCCTTTGCATAATGTGTTCAAGATCAATACTTGTTTAAATTGACTTGGAATTGTCATTTTCAAATCATATAATAGCATTGGACTTATTTGAATCTTTTTAAATTATGATATGAAATATTTTGTAATTATTTTTTCCACCAAGACATTGGAATTAATTTCATTTAAATTTTAAAATTGTTGTTACTCTATTAATTAAATTTTAGGTCACTTAGGCCTTGTTTAATACTTATTATTTCAAAAAAAAAAAATATTTTTTAATAGTGATTTGACATCATTTCGACCATACATTTTTCAATAAAATAATATTACACGCAAATTTAAAACTTTTCTTTATTTTTTAACCATACATTTTCCATCAATATACTATTCAAAAATGCTTTTTTTTTTCAAAATAATGTGGCTCAAAGAAGGATTTAATATGAATTTAATATCAAAATATTTTAGCGTTTTAAATTAAAATTATAACATGAGTGGAAGAAGTTCCCTAAATTTCAAATGGTATCAAGTCATTTTACTTGGTCGAAGATAACGATTTAATTATAAATATGAAAAGCATTCACATTCATTTAATTAATATTCATCTTTATTTATGCATTTTAATGTTATTAATTCTAATTATAAATTAATTAGAATTTCACAATCAAAAATGAATTTCATAATAACGTACAATGCGCATTCAACATTGACTAGTTTGTATAAAAATCTAATTTTTAATCTTTACCAAACAGAGGTTAGTTTGGAGTGCTTATACGGTATTTTGGGGGGAAAATAGTGTCATAATGTATAATATTTTTTCCCCTGAAATTAGTGTTTTTTTTTTTTTTTTTTGCGTAGTCACTTCTCATCACTATCTTTCGATTCTATAAATTCTTGCATTTGTAAAATAGAAGTAATTGTCGACTATCTCTCATTGTTGTCTGGCGAGATGTGGTGTCGATGCCTCTTTGCTTATAAGAAGAAATGACCAACTTCAAGGCAAGTTTTGAAGAAGTTCGGCACACAATCAAGAGTTTTATGTTTCAAATTTACATGACTTCTCTCCTCAATAATTTTTTTCCTTTTTTTTGCGGTTAAAACTGAAATGTGTGGTTAAAAAGTTGTAGGTCCGATAGAATGTGCTGTTAAAACTAGTAGTTAACTTTGACTTAAATTAAAATCTGAATTTTAATTTGTACCAGACGGGAGCTTAATTTAAATTGTTCGATTGAAATGTTGCTTATCTGGCTTTCCTATCTGGTGTGTTTGAATTTGAGTATAATGAAAATATTGAAAATGATATACGGGTATCTTTAGACTCTCAAGTCGTCGTTTGATTTTACTAAACATCAGAGTTCTTCTATATTTGATGGAAGCTAAGAAATGTGAGATTCAGAGATTAATAAAAATTGTGCATTTCATGAAATATATGATTAGTTCAACCAAACAAATGCTAAAATTCGTCACAATTGACTAGACTCGTTAAAAAGTCAAATTAATCCTTAAAATTCCTCACAATTGCAAGTTGCAGAAGACAATTTGGACAGTAACCAAAGTTGGTTAAATAAATCAGTGAGTCGTCTCCTTATTCCTAACAAAAGGTGCTCGGGACTCCAGCCCAAATTTTAAGCCCTTCTGTTGCAATAGAGGGTATGGCCTTTAGTTTTCAAACATGCACACATTGTCTTCAGAAGCAAATTTTAAGCCAGAGGTAAGCACATTTGGCTAAGCTTATAAGTATGTGCTTCTAAAGCTCATTAATTGCGCTTGCTACCAAAATAAGACAGAAAATATGACACTTGTAAGTTTACACAAACCCGCTTGGATGAAAAAAAAACTGATCAACATAATCATCTAATACACGAGACAAGCATTAAAAATCATTTATTTCATTGATAAATTAGAAAGTTACACAGCATTTTGAGTATTTATACAGAAAGGATCTTTAAATAGCTAAGGCCTAATGCCCAGCAAGTAGCTGGTCTGGAATAAGTTGACTAGAAATTATAAAGGTCTGAGTCTGCTAAAATATGCTAAAAACACCTCTTACAAATTAACTAGCCAACATCATTCTCTCCTTTACATCTTCATTTTACAAAGCTTCAGTGCCATCAGAACTGAACATCGGTACGAATTTGCAAGATGAATGAATAAAGAATGGAAGTGCGTTCCATGGTGTCCAGCTATGTGTCAGTTGATATACTGGCATTTTCCCAACATCAGTAAGCATGAGAGAATAAAATGAAGACTGGAGGATTCTAGCATCGGTACGAGAGCATCTCTGAGAAGCAAAATGTCATTTGTAGCTATTGCATCTGGTCATCGACTAGGAAAATTGATTATGCTAGAAAAGTGATTGAACGGGTTTTGGAGAGCTGAGAGTAGACACACACTTGAACTGTCACGGAGAGCATAATTTCATTAGATGTTATGATCAACATCAAGATAGCATGTTTGGTACACATCATAACAAATAAGACTTTAACTTCTTTTGTTGCTTACCAAACATGCTATTAGTGCATTGCTATCAAGGTGCAAAAGTGAAAGGAAAGGGATGTCGTAAAAGGTTTACCTTAGATTGTTTATATTTTTCACGTATTGCTGGCAACTTGCATCCATGAGTGTTTAGCTGCAAGTCTTGCAACACGAGAACAGTGATTTTCATCTCCGATGCCTTGTAGTTGGTGTAATGCTCCAGAGTCGAATTCTGCAGAAAGTACACGGTCATTTTGGGTTTGATTGCTATCAGAAAGGGAAGAGTTATAAATGATGCAAACCCATGGATGGTCTGATTGATCTAGAGTCCATCTGGCTAGAAATACAGCAGATGCAGCAACCAGGGATGGAAGAAACTCCAGGAGACTGTACTCGGTTAGTGTTAACTCTGCTAAATAATTTGCCAAGAATTCCAGTTCAACAGATGGAACCTAGAAATGGGGGAAATTATTTAGTCAGAATGGTTTCTTCCTCGTATGAAAAACAGAAAGAGCTGTATAATGTCTTGTCTACCTCATATGAAACTTGTGCTGCTTGAATGAATCTCCTACGAAACAGATTGAGACAGGGCAAAAATAAGAGATACTTAACTTAACAAGATTGCATTTTATTGAAAATAAGGGACACATATTTTAGATATATCGAGTACCTAAGGAACTTCTTTGTAGTGGGAACAGATAATTGAAAACCCAAAAAGTTCAAAACACGACTTTCCATTTTCACCACCTGCCACGTAACCACAAGTGAGTTCTACTTTTGCAAATAAGGACTTTTCCAGATGGGGAGAGCATAAGTTAATTTATGGCCAAAGGCATTAATACTTTTAAAGCTATGAGTTTATTGAGATTTATATCAAGGAAAATGCAGCTATACAAAGAAAGAACCAAAATGAAACATAAAATATATCAGCCTCTAACATGAACATTGTCCTTGACCTACAGAAACTCAATAGTAGAAATAACCTTGTCAAAATAAAAGGATGTACCTCTTCTTTTGTGTAGGTATTGTCTGTTATAAAGCAAAACTCTTCCACACGAGGTGCGCATATTTCTTCATATTTTCTTCAAACCAAAATCCAGAAAGATATAAGCAAGAAAATATTTAAGCGTTTATACTTCTTGTAAATAAAGGAAACTTACGAAGCAATTAGCATGCAAGTTACACCAAGCAATTGCAATTTCTGCTTTTCAATATAGTTTTCAGACAGGAACCGATCAAGAAGATTTACAGTGAGGTAAAGTGTGTCTGGGACCAGCCTATACTCTTCAGAAACCTGAAATAGAGGAGACATACCCACAACATAAGATGACAACTAAGCAAAAAACTAATTTGAATACTCTCAAGAAATCCAGTTTTTCTTAAAAGATTAAGATTATTGGATGTCACAAGTTCTGAAACTTTGAATTAATAGTACAAAACAAAGATTGAAGATAACAGTGCACTGCTCAGAGGAGGTTGAAGAGTACAATTGAAGAGTGCAACCAACAACTGCTGGATTTACTATTTTTACAAGGAAGAAGCTTGATTTCTAGAGAACAAGAGGAAAAACTTGCTAGTTCGAAGTGAGAAAGACTATTGATACTAGTTACTACATACCAAGAGCAAAGGAACAAGAATTCCTAACAGTTCTTTGGTATCTTTCTAAGAATGATGGTTGTTTCCACAAGGAAAGGACAGTATAATCTCATGCATCCCAATTTGACTGTATGCACTAACCTCCACAAGCCAATCAATCAGTATCCCTCGCATGCCTGGGTTGATGTCTTGCTGCAGCTTTTCCATATAATTGCCAGAAGGCCTCCAGTCAAACTGTGAGAGAAGAAAATTGGTCTGAGTCTGAGTTAACATGATAGAAAACGGAAGTCTGCGATCGATCTAGAAAAACGATTAAGGTTTTGACTCCTTTCAACGTGATTATAAAAAATGAATTCACGGTGTGATACTGAACTAAATTTGATAACATGACACTGGATTTAGAAGTGACAAAAGCAAAAGTTCCCAACAATTTTGAGATTATTATGTATCAAGGGGCTAAGTGCTGAGTGGACAAATTTATGAATTAAAAATATGACAGAAAGAAAGAACATATAATAATAGGTATGCAGCCTTACAAACCTCCGTTGCGTGCAAATTTCTATATATATCAGGGGCATACATGCTGCACATCAGTGGATCCTTGTGTTTTGAATCTATATCCATAATGCCCACATTATCCATGTTTTCTTGTTTACTCCAGAATCTGCTTTCTCCTGGATGATACAATGAACACCCCCACCCCCCACGCCCAAAAAAAATAAAATCACACCCGGAAGAAAACAATTAGCAACAGAGAACATGAAATCCAAGATATCTAAGATAATTCGTGAACACATTCAGGAATCCATTCGATAGAAAGGACTACAGAACAATCCTGGTTGCAATGTGCATTTTGACTTTCAACATGAGTCCTGTCAGACAAACTTGCTTGATATATACTTTGAACTAGAAGGTTGATCAAAAATATGAATCGAGGAAGGATTAGTTACCAAATATTCTCATTTCATCAATGCGTCACAAATTTGAATGAAATTCACGGTAACACATAAACAAGGATATAAGACAAAGATAGGGTCCATTGAATGTTTCAACTGATATGGATTAACATGTTTTCATCTCATTGCAAGTAACACTACAGGGTTTCATCAAATGAACAGATTTGATAGTATACCCATATCATCTTTCTTAGGAGCCTCATGTTCTTGATAATTGAAGTAACTACCAAATAAGCTAGGGAAGACTTACATAAGTAGATAAGTTTTACAGCTCTCCCAAACATATTCCAAAAGGAGCAATTAAAATTTAGCCCCCGTTTGTTTCTCATTTTTGGAAGAATGAGAATGAAAAATATAGCTATTACGGGTCCCACACAAGAGATAGAAATTTAAATTTGGTGACTTGATGTGAAAGATAACGATCATATTTTTCATTTTAATGAGAAAAGAATGGAAATCAAACAGGGGCTTAGAGTTGAAATAATCACAACTTGTAGGAAGCCTTAGAGTTTCATTCTGTTATTAGCCATAATGCAAGCACTAGGTGTCACCATTTAGTCATTATTTTTGCTCACAAAAAAAAAAATATCAAAATAAATTCATCATGGATTGTGCTTACTAGAATTTTGTTTTTCCGTTGAGCTGACAAATTCACTAGGTTGAACTGTTACTAACTCTTTGAAATTTACAGGGAAGCAATTATCTTGTGATTCCTCCACCTGTACTGCATTAATCTCTTCTGTTATGTTTTCTCTTCTATCCTCTGGAACCTGAGACTCTTTAAAAGAAACAGCATGTGCCACCCTTGCATTTTTTCTCGCAGTGCCTCTTCTATCCAGTTTGCTAAGCTGACAGGTATGAACATCAACATTCAATGAGTTTTGGAGAGAAATCTCAAACTTTCAGTTCAAAGACAGCATTCAATAAATTTATAAAAATTGTTTCTCGTCTGTAAATAATTCTTGAGATATAACAAGTGCAAGGGAGAATAGTAAAAAAGGAACCTAACTTTATATTTATCATCAAAATGATGATTATAGTCTTACCTGAACTTTTGTTGCATTAATGCAGTTTCTGTATGAATTTTCACAGAGTATGTTAGTTACTTCTTTTAGAACGGCCCTCTTCTTATGCTGAGAAAATGCAGAGGAACTTGCACCAGGTTTGTTCTCGTCAGATGCTGCTCTTTTGGAGTTTGTTTGCAAAACCCGTTTCCCATCCTGTTTGGTTGAAGGATACGAAGGTGGCAATCCTCCTGAAGAGCCAAAGGCTTTAGCCCGAGCTCGTGTGACTCGCACTGTGGGGCCTATGACTTCGGAAGATCTATTCTCTTTGTTCATAGTTGCATGGATCGTAGGATGATGGTTCATATAACAAAACTAGTATGCCTCCATTAAAGCTGCAATTGTATCATGAATTTAAAATTAAGACAAACAAAATATACAGAAGAAACTATCTTTATGGAAAAATTACAGTAACCACGTCAGTCCTGACAGAAGAACCATAAAGCTCAACTTAGAGAAGCTTTTAGAGTCGTTCACAGGAAATATTCTTCAACATTATGATCATTATAAGGTGATGTATTCCTATCAATTTAAGGACATTTCTTTGATAGAATTTTATTAATATAATTTCAATTCTACTGAGGCTACTTGTTTTATAGCCTGGACTTTAGCACTATGTCATGAAACATTCTATGAAAAAATGGATCAGTTAGAGCTCAGATTTCTATCCTATTCT